GTTTACGGGGAGGAAGTATGTTATTGTTTTTGATGGAGAATGACAAAAAATAGGGTCTGTGATGGTATGGAATCAGTGACTACTGTATGTACTGTACAGAGTATTAACCAGGTCTGGGAGGTATAAAATAGAATTAATTATAGACAAATGAAGGAATGAAGAAAGGATGAATCCATGTACTTCAGTGGATGTATGCTAATTAATATACTAGAACCAGAACTATGTTTTTATCCTCTCTTGCACTCTCGTATTATCTCTTGTATAATAATACCTTCAATGCTCGCTACTACCACCAGTCTCCCTCGCTCATTTTCATGAGGTCATCATTGAAGTTATTTTGAACAGATTCGTACTCCTCATCATCACTGTAGTCATCAGGCGGATAGTACGTTTCGGGTAATTTTTTGAACCTGCGATCTAAACAAAATCTCCTATTAGACGAATGACATCTGCATGGAAAACAATTGCATCACTTCACATACCTTGTTTGATTTGCCAAGCAGCCCTCCTCTGCACAATCGCAGATGCAGGAATTCTATGCAGACACAAATACGCCCCTTCGCTGTGCTGCTGTGCCCTTTCGGGAAGGGATACGTCCAGCTCGCGCTGCAGGTCACTCAATTTGAAGATGTATATGTCTGCCAGCTGCAGCTGCCTTGTGTTGATGGTGAGGATCTCCCAGTCTGATGTATCGTCATGATAATCATAATTGCCTTTCCACGGCTCCCTCAAAGCCCAGTTTTCTGCATGTTCTTCGTCCGAGAACAGAGAGATGTATGGCTGCGGACCGCGCCAGCTCCAGGTGAACTGCCGCTCCACGGATTGCCGGAAGGATTCTAGTTTGTCTTCTGTGTAGAATGTGTGCGTGTCGCGGGCTTGTAGGCCATATCCATGATGGCCATTATTATTGGAATCTGGATAGTAGCTCGTTTGGCTGCTGCTGTACTGGACTCGCCATAAGTATGGCGGTAGGGAGTCTGTTGCACAGCGCAGTCGATCCATTGTAGATAGGTTAGAGTTTTCTGTTGGATTGAAAAATAAAAGAAAGAAAAGGAAGTAATTGTGGATGAGTGTCAGCTGTCAGGCTACAAACTACATATTTACAGGGAAAGTCAAAGGCTATATATACCTAGGTATAACACTGGTCTGGCTAGGCTGCCACCAGAACCATTTTATTCTACACAGCCTTTTCTGGTGTTGTTGGTGAGCGAAGTCTGCGCTGAGCAGCATGATCATGGTAATTGCCACAGCGAGGCAGACTAACTTCCATGCAGCAAAACAACGCTTTCATATGTATCTCATGAGTCTGGAATGTACTGGTTCCTTTTTTTTTTTGTTTGTTTGTTTTGTCTTTCTTAACTGCTGCCTTACAATATAACAACACTAACATGATGGAACTAATTATGTCTACTATTTTTCTTCACAGGTTGAGTGGCAATCTTGTTGGTTTGGTTAAGTTGTTAGGTGGACAGTACATACACATAACAAGGCTGACAGCAGGATCATGTTGCCTGATTGAGGTGACAGTACAATTACAATAACAAGACAGAACCAAACAGAACATATTCAACCCAGCTAGCAATGGTAAAACAGAAGTGACTGAACTATGTACCCAAGGAAATAGAATATATAGACTTTAAATTATGCCATTATACCATACGACTTTTTATATACAAACGTACTGTACCTGTACATCCATACATACAGTACCTGAGGGGAACTGTATGGGTGGGATTAAGTGAAAAAAAATTTGAAAAATAAAAATAAATAACCTGTCGCATTTTACTACAGTCATTAGTGAATAGTCCAGTCCAGTCCAGAATATTGTTCATGTTAATTATTTTATAATGTCCAAAGCTGGGTGACAAACCTGGTAGTTATTAGTTAGGTTTAGCGCAGAATAACCCCTAATTAGGACAAGAAAGCTCACCCTGAGGAACAGTTTTATAGCGCCTATTTCCTGCAGACAATAGATAGATAGATATCCTCTTCTCTACATTTGATAATTATCTTTTTTTTTCTCTTTTAATTAATTTTCAGACAAGCAGGTTTTTTTTTGTCCTATCCTCCAATGCTAGGTATAGGCCTAGGTAGGTATAATGTCACATGCACCCTTCACATCCACTTAGTTATGTGGGTAGAGAATTTATTCACACTTGACTACAACTGTGAATTGAACAAAGGAAGCTCGCTAGATGGAGACCACACTAAGTATCGGCCATGATCCAGTATGTATTCCTTCCTGACGGAATCTGCCGCTGGTGACTGCCGTGTTGGGAGATGAGATATATTTAAGGGCTACAAGCCCAGTGAATCTTGACATGATGCTTCCCTTTTATCGTACATATATTACTACTACCACATACTGCTATCTCGTCTCGTCAACGCTTCGCCATGGCGGCTGCTGTCGTCGACCTCGACTCCCTCAAAGAGAAATACGCCCAAGAACGCAACAAGCGTCTTCGCCCCGATGCCGCCGACCAGTATCGCCAGGTCGATGAAGGCGTCCTGCACCACTACGCTGACGACCCCTACACCGAGCCTGTCACGCGTGACCCCATCCTGGACAGAGAATGCGACTTCCTCGTCATCGGCGCCGGTTTCACGGGCCAATTGGTCGCCATCCGCCTCCTCATGGCCGGCATCACCGACATCTGCATCGTCGACAAGGCCGGCGATTTCGGCGGAACCTGGTACTGGAACCGCTACCCCGGCGCCGCATGCGATGTCGAATCGTACATCTACCTGCCTCTGCTGGAGGAAACGGGGTATATGCCCTCGGAGCGGTACGCCAAGGGTCCGGAGATCTTTGCGTATGCAAAGAGACTCGCCGCCCATTACGGTCTCTACGAGAAGGCGTTGTTCCAGACTGAGGTCCTGAAATTGGAATGGAACGAGCAAGAAAAGCTCTGGATTGTCTCGACTAACAGGGGAGATCGGCTGAGAGCCAAGTTCGTGGCTTCAACCTCCGGCCCTCTGCACAAGCCCAAGCTCCCCGGCGTGAAAGGCATCGACACCTTCGCCGGCCATTCCTTCCACGCCAGCCGCTGGAATTATCAATACACCGGAGGCGATGCCACCGGCGGGCTGCACAAACTGCAGAATAAATGCGTCGGCATAGTCGGCACCGGGGCGACGGCCATCCAGGTCGTTCCACATCTCGCTGCAGCGGCCAAGCACCTCTATGTCTTCCAGCGCACGCCCTCGACCGTTAGTGAACGCCTGGACGGACCGACCGATCCTGAATGGGTCGCCTCCCTAACTCCCGGCTGGCAGCAGCGACGCATGGACAACTTCAACGCCATCACCAGCCTCGGGCACGAAGACGAAGACCTCGTTCAGGACGGCTGGACCGCTATCTTCCGCGAGATCGCCCGTCTGCACAGCGAAGCGCCTGCCATGCCGCTCGACGACGCCATCCAGCTCGCCGACGTTGCCAGGATGGAGCAGATCCGCGCTCGCATCGACCGCGTTGTCAACGACCCCGTCACCGCCAACAATCTCAAGCCGTGGTACAGCATCTTCTGCAAGCGTATGTGCTTCCACGACGACTACCTCCAGACCTTCAACCGGCCCAACGTGACGCTCGTCGACACAGCGGGCGAGGGGATCGAACGGGTCACTCCCGCTGGCATCGTGGCGCAGGGCGAAGAGTACAAGCTGGACTGCATCATCTTCGCCACGGGGTTCGACGTCGCAGGCGGTCTGCAGCATAATGCTGTATCCGAAATCCGAGGCCGTCACGGCCGAACACTCCAGGAACACTGGGCCGAGGGGCCACGGCTCTTCCACGGCCTGTTATCTCACGGCTTTCCGAACTGCTTCTTCGTCGGGCCTGTGCAGACCGGACTTGGAGCAAATGTCATCCACATGCTCAACGAACAAGCGCGACACGTCGCCTATATCGTCGCAGAAGCGCGATCCCGGCAGAACGCCCGCACAGTCGAAGTGTCGGCCGAGGCGGAGGAGAACTGGGTGCAGATGGTCGTCGAGGTGGCCCGGTCGAGAGAGAAGTACTGGAAGGAGTGCACGCCGGGATTCTTTAACCACGAGGGGAAGCTCGACTCGAAAACGCTGAAACGCGGCATCTTTGGGGGCGGAGCTCTTGCGTTTCTGAAGCTGAAGGAGGACTGGAAGAGGGAGGGAAAACTGGCCGGGCTGGAGTTGGATGGCAGTCGTAGTAGTTGACATGAAAAAAAAAGCAAAGAGAAGAGCTTATTTACTCTCCAGTCCACTCGTTGCCTTATTCGATAGTCTTATTATTCAATGACAGACCAATCCTCTTGGTAATTGTATTCATCCCCCTTCTGTCCGACACAACCAGGCTTCTCTTCTCTGCTTCAGTTCTCCGCCATCCTGCAGTAAAGATTAGGTAGATGCATCAGACCGTCAAAAGGAGATTGGTTCCGACTGTAAGCGGCCGCGCGTAAATTCGAACAATATATCATCGCAGTCTGTCCCTTGTCAATGTCAGCTCTGTGTTTGTTGGGCAAGTGCTGTCATCGTTGCGGCAGGCGGAGAGAGAAAGGGCGCGGATGATATTGGCCCTGACGAGAGAAGGGCATCTTCATGCCAGCTTGCAGAAAAACATGACTCTTCCCTGGTAGATGGAAGCTAAGGCATGGATTTCGATAGGTGACCTGTACATAAATCTCCTAGGGAGGGAGATCTTTAGATTTCCTGTCAGGATAATACACTTGGAATCCATGTACTGTACTTGGAATTAAACAACCAGATACCATTTTCTATCCATTGCACTGTTCTAAAAGAGTCCGGCCTGGGGGTATCTCAGAATATATATTATGGAAGTTGTCGTACCAAGATAAATACATACCATACCATACCGTGCTGGATGCGTCATTGCCCTAGAAAAAAAATTCCCAAACAGATCATGAAATTAAACATATTCAATTGTGGCTGACTGGCGCCGCTAGGTCCGCCATCCCTGCACAAAATCATGCAGCCGGTCAATGACCACGCCGAAAATGGCATTGACGCTGTCGTTGATCAGCTGCTCAAAGTGGCGGATCGCCTCTTCCTCGCTCAGCTCGAGGTGGAACCGCTCCTTGACCTTCAGGACGGCCTTGTCCGGCTCGACGCGGATGTCGGGGATGTTGGCGTCAACCATCAGGCTGAACAGGTTGAGGATGAGGTTCGACGACTTGCGCAGCGTCGTGTACGCGGTGAAACAGTGCTGCTTGAATTGAAGGTAGTGAGGCGAATTCGCGCCCCCCATCCCCTCAACCATCTCCTTGCACAGCTTCATCATCGGCGCAAATGGTTTGGGGTCGCGACCCAGAATAAACCCGAAATCCGCATGGAAGAAATGGCCGTCTGGCGCCAGTAGAAGATTGTCCAGATGCCGATCGCCCACGCCCAGGAGATACGTTATTACACAGTACCCTGCGCAGGATTTGATGTACGTGTCCATCGTTTCCTTGCGCACACCGAGAGGCTCATTCTCATCCGGATTGTTGTCTCGGAGGTACGCCAGGATCGAGCCTTTGTATTTGGCCGACGCCGCAGAGAGTGACGTCGACGGGATGAATTGAGCTGCCCCGGCGTTCGAGCCTGTCGCGAGAATACGGTATGGAGTCAGTTTCAAATCGAGATTCTCCTTTTGCAAGAGGCGATCCATCAGGGTAATGATCTGAATCACGAGTTGATCCTGACGGAGGTCATCGCCGACCTTGAAATGGACGGGATATTTGCGGCCATCGACGGTTTTGAAATTAATCAGCAACGGTGACAATGAAGACTTGAAGACGTTGCATTCGTCGGGAAAGCAGCCAGTGATCAACACCGACGGATCCAACGGAAGTGGCAGAGGCGGGTCGATATTGATGATCTCGTTCTTTGGGTCTTTGAGATACTTTTTGAGTTTCTCAATTTTCAAGGCTCGGTTTTCTCTAGAGAACCGAATGTCTTTGGCGATCCGCGACAAGACCGTTATCAACTCACCCTGTCGCAGCAGCGTCCTTCTATGCTCGGGATGCACCTTCTCCAGTTCGGCCATAAAGTAGTACTCGACGCGAGCGAAAAGCCTCCGATGCGCTGACACGTTTCCGACGCCGGTATCGTCGCATTCCACCATGAGATACCAATGAAGATAGTTCCCCAGCGTAAAGTTATTCGCCGCACGGGCAATGAGAAAGTTGGCCAAGGATGAGTCATGCGCTGCATCCTCTGCATTCTCTGTATTCTCCTCGGATGTCTTTTCGAACTTCAAGGCCTGCACAAGTTGCAAAAGATAGAGAAGCAGCTCATCATCCCCAGCTTTGCGCAGACGATCAACCGCATACGCACGAACCGCAGTGTTGTCAAACGTGGGCCCCAGGAGCTCCAAGGCGTCATCGACGTCAATCTCCGTCCATTTCGGAAGGATTTCGACCGCCTGTCGAGCCTCGCCAACGTCTCGCCAATTGACTGATTTGACGAATTTGGTCAATGCTCTCTTGTCGCGGGTTAAGTAATATCTGAACCTCCAGATGAGATCCTTCTCCTCAGCACTCAGCTCTTGAGTAGGCCCATAAGACATGATGACGTTCAGCTCATCGCGGATTTTGGGGTTGGGTTTCAGATCGCGATCCATAATTCCAGTTCGATGACTGCGGACAAGCCTTCTGTGCTTGTCTTCGCACGGATTCCCCGTTTGACCCACCTCCGGATCGTAGATCCTAATCACTCTGTTCTCACCAGCATTGTCTGCGCCTTCAATTCCGGGGCCCAGTCGAACCTCTGGAGGCGGCTTGAGGGTGGAGTTGGGGTTGGATTGCGCATGCTGTGGGTAGGACGAGACAGGAGGCGGTGGATACTCATGGTCCGCCCAGACGATGGGGTGATCAAAACGCGGAAATTCTATATAGAGCACGAAATTCTCCTCGTCGAACTCTTCCGCGTCGGACTCCTCCTCGTCGTCACCATCCTGGTTCTTCCCATGCTTCGCCTTCGCAGCCTGCATCCTGATGGCCCTCTTCCTCGCAGCGTCCTCTGCGCTCAACTTGATCTTCTCTAGCTGACGGAACACCATCTGGTCCAGCCAATCTATGCGAGGAATTTCGCCCATTTCGTGCTTCTTGATCAGACCTTCCACGCGCTCGAGCTCGAGTTCTTCAGGAGACGGGTCGAATGCAGCGGAGCCATTAGCCTTGCGACGCTTCGGGGGCGGAATTGCGGGGGTTGTTGTTGAGGAGAAGCCATCGGCCGCCTTATGCCTGTGGATCTTGCATTTCTGCCTGCCCATCCTCAATTTTCCGTCTGCATCGAACAAAGAGATAGTCGTGCCTCCGAAAGGAACCGCATGAGCGTAGGCATTTTTCCCGCCAAGCGGAGATAAATCCCAGATCGTGATCGCCAACTGTGATCGGAGAGGAGCGTCCTTCAGGGACACGGGCATTTGCAGCCACTCATTCCATGTTCGACTTGTCTTGAAGGACTTGTAGGAGGTCTGCATGGGAACCCCGAGAGGCTTCGAATCCGACCATAGCTGAACCGTCACGAACAGGTCGGAGACAGGGCTCTGATTTGAACCGAGGTGTCGCAACTCGGGGTTCTTCAGAAGAACCGAGAAAGGTAGTTGCTTCTGTTTGCCCTCCAAGGTGGCGCTGCGGCCGTTAGTTCACAGGACTTGTCCGATCGCGCGACAGGGACAGGATAGCATACATCTTCACATGGACTGGGAAGTCCACCTGGGTTGAGGTCGCGAACGTGAAGGCCTCCATGGTCGGCGCTTCGCTGAACTGGTCTCTATAGATCTCTCGGCATAGTTACCTGCCCCGCTCCGACAGAGCAAGCAGGAACTGGCCAAATAACAATGCGATCAGCTGCAGACAGAGAATGCCTGGATCTGAAGCTGTTGCTATGAAGCTCATGCGGGCTGCTGATCGGCAATCCAGCTGATAGATTATCTAATCAGCAGATGACATGGGTCACGGATCGGGATCACGTGCCGGCTGACGCGAGGCGCGTGGAGGCGCGCTCTCCGCGACTACCAGTCCGGAGTAGCGCTGCTGCTGTCGACGAGCTTCATTTTGCTCAAAGAGGAAACTGTTGGCCATGCTTTGGTTCTGCTGATGGATGTTGTCTTATGCCTATGTAATCCTCTGACCCCAATTCGTTGTGATAGGTCAGCCTTGTAAATTCTTTTAGTTCGCCCTCTTACTTGCAGACACTGTTGCGACGAGCATGGCACGTACGCCCAGTCTCAGATCACGTCAAGACGACGACCGCGTTGACCCCGTTTCTTCACCCTCCCCCTCCTCCTCCGACAAGGAGAATCGAACAGCTCCGGGATCCCGATTGCGCACCAAGAAGAGGAAGAGCGACAGTCACACCATGCCTTCCAGCCTGCCCACACAGCCCTCAGATCCATCAACCAACAAGCGAAGGAGACTGGCGGAAAGAGAATCCAACGTGGGGACCGCGAGTCAGTCCCAGTCTCAGTCTCAGCCTCGCCGGTCGCAACGGTTGAATATCAAGGATATCTACGACCCGGATCAGGACGAGAACGAGAGGCGCCAGATTCGAAAGCAGTTCAGAGATCTTGCTCGAGATCTTCATGGTAGGACATCCTCTTGAACCCGCCTGGACGGATGTCAAATCTTACGCACGTCTACAGACTACCGGAATGAGTATATGCAAGCTGGCAACCGCGGAATCATCGAGACCGTCAAAAAAGCGAACGAGCTTTTCGTCCATGTCAAGCAGACAGCGGATGCGACTGTTGACTCGCGGCTGTTGGTGAATGCGGCAGACCTGTCATACAAGAAGACGGCGCAACTCGTTGTGGGAGATTCCACTGCTGGTATCGACGTGGATGAATTTGTGTCGAAATGTATATCCTTCATGCGACGAGCACCGGAGGACGTGACGTCGGTCCCTCCGAGCAGTACTCAACGACGCCAGCGAGCGCGCAGGGATGCCGATGACAGCGAGGAGGACGAGGGGGACGCGTTGAACTGGGATTGGCTGGGCCGGACGGCGTGTCTGCCGAACAATGCGCGGCCCTCTGTTTCGGGCTTTTTGCTCGGTCCCTTGTCCGTGCAAAAGCGGACTCGTCAGCAGACGCAGCGCAGAGCGCGAGAGCGCATCGATCCGTCTCAGGCGGTACGACCGCAGGAGCTACAGGAGGAAGATCTCGACCGGCAGGAGACGTCGAACCTGACCACTATGTGTACGAAAATCAACCAGTTGTTGATACAAACACAGCGAGAGAGTCAAAGGGCCGTCAACGAGGAGCTTTCTCAGATGGACGAAGAGCCCACAGAGGAGATCATCCAGGAAGTGATGGCCAAGCACAATATTGCGGACGACGGAGGTGTTCCTCTCTTCCGGTTCTGCATCAACCCGCGATCTTTCGGCCAGAGTGTCGAGAATCTCTTCTACGTGAGCTTCTTGGTCAGAGATGGCACTGTGGGTGTGTCACTGGACAGTCGAGGACTGCCCACATTACGTGAGTGTATCTTGCTTGTTCTCTTCGGTCGTTGGCTAACCGATATCAATTCTAGAGGCTGCAAGACCGTATGCGCCAAATGAAGCTCGCAGACAGGGGATTCAAAAGCATCAAGCGATCTTCAGCCTCGACTTTGAAACCTGGCATGACTTGATTGAGGCGTATCAGATCACGGAGCCGATCATCCCGCATCGCGAAGAGGAAGAACAGCTCCAGAACGACCGTCGGCGGGGATGGTACGGCTAGCAGTTGTGTTTTACTTAGATCTGTCTCAATAGGCGTTTGTGGGCGGCCTTTGTCGTTTATTCTATAGATACCCTAGTTGTGCTAAATTTGCTGGTCGAAAGTGTCCATAGATGTACAGTACAGTACGTATTAATAATGACAGCATTGGGAGCAGTCAAGCAGGTTTGATCTTGAAACTACATGTAGGGCCGTATTCGCGCGTTAACTGTTACCGTCCAAGTCTAAAATAGTCTACTTTGTATATTCCCCAGCTCCGATTTCATAAGCAGTTCACTGGACCATACTAGCAAATGTCACGAACTTATTGGTTGGCTCGCCAACTTGGACACCCCGGATCTCCACTCTCCAACGTGGGGATGACATATCACATGAATATCAAGACCGGATACTGATACAACAGAGCTGGAAGAGCTTACAATTAACGACCAGGCAGCAACCTCAGTGTGTTGCATGCCGTAGGCCTGATTCGTTTTGGGTCATTGATTCCCAGACGTTACGCTTATGACAGAAAGTCTAACCTAACCTTGAATTGAAACCGTGCTGACGTGACTGACGTGACGTCGCATCGCTACGGTACTTCAAACTTGACTATTACCTTAAATAAATCCGCGCGCAGCAACGCATCTATTTAAAAACCCTGCCAGAAGTTATTGACCTTTTAATTTTTGATTTTACATCCGATCGAGTTTGACGATGGGCTCGAAACTCTTCCCAGGAGATCCATCACAGGTGATGGTTATCCGCAAAGTCACTCCCGAAATCACGACTCTGAGCGTCCCGTTTTCACGATTCGGACTGGTCAACTTTGGTGGGAGAGGTACCATTGGTATACGACTTCCAGTTCGCGTTGAGATTGGGATATCAAAAGAGATGCAGTCTGCTAATTAGATTACCTCTGCAAGTGAAACTTGCTTCTGGCTCCCTTGCGGTATTCTCCCCCGTCGCCCTGACACCCGAAGTCCAAGAGACGATCAAATCGGAAGGAGGCAAGCTCAAGTACATCGCGGCCCCGGATCTGCAGCATCACCTGTACGTCACGGCGTGGAAGCGCGCGTTCCCGGACGCCGAAGTCATCGCGCCAGAAGGGCTGTGGGAGAAGCGCCAGAAGAACCCCGAGTTCAGGGACACGATGCCGTTCCAGCACATCTTCACGGCGGCCAGCAAGCGGGATAAGAAGATTTCCCAGGAATTCGACGCCGAGTTCGAGGTCGAATACGTCGACGGCCATGGCTCGCGCGAGCTCGTGTTCTGGCACAAGCCCTCGCGCACCGTCATCGAGGCCGATCTGCTCTTCAACCTGCCGGCCACCGAGCAGTACTCACGATATGCCGGTGACTCGTCCACGATGACGGGGATCCTAACGCGCCTCGTCACGCCTCTCCTCTCGACGAGGCCCCCCGCGACATGGCACAAGCGGTTTGCGTGGTATGTCCTCTCGGCGCGCGACCGGACGGGGTTCGCAGAGTCGATGAGGCGCATCGACCGGTGGGATTTTGACCGCCTGATCCCTTGTCACGGCGATGTGATTGAGACGGGCGCCAAGGGGGTGTTTCGTAATGTGTTTGAGTGGTTTCTGGATGGTAAGAAGGGGGTTTGATCGAGCTGTCTGTTATTGTTGTATATACCTGAAGTGCTTAGTTTTTTATATCAGAGTCGCTAATAATAATACTAATACTAATGACAATTTAATGTCTATTATGAGGTATGGCACTATATCTGATCCATCTTGTGCTTTATATTCTATTCTTGTCCATCATTCTAAGGCATGCTGCTCTATGATTAGACCTTCAAAAACAGTTTAAGAGAAAAAAAAGGAAACAGGATCCAATCGTCAGAATAACATCATCCAACCTCAAAAGATTTTTTTTCCTCTATCCCTACGAAGTACTCCGTACGAAAGAACAACCCAGCATGCATGTGACAGCACTCACGTGAGACAAGACCTCCCTTCTTATCTAGGTACTAACCGAGGTAATTACCATTTTTGTCGATGTCTGTCGATCCACCATCTACCTGGACAGCTAGCTCCCTAGCTGGTAACTAATAAATCAGCTAATATCGGTAGACCCCACGGGCCGATAACGATAATCATACGGAGTACTCCGTGCGGTCCAGGGGTAATATCGGAGGACGGTTCGTGATGGACCTGATGGTGCAATTTGCCGGCATCGGGACTCGGGTCTCGGTATTCCGGATGGATGGTCTTTGACTTCGGGTGCTTTGTCGTTGGGTATGGACCTAGGTACTAGCTACTAGGCAAGTAGGGCCGTACAGGTACAGGATGGCAATTCCGTGGTGAAGTTCGGAGTACGCCGTCCGTAGCCATGCGGTGTTGGAGTATCTCTCTTGGAGAAATCTTGTTAGGTTACCGGATACAGCAGTAGGACAAATCATTACCAGTATGAATATCAATAAAAGATTAATATAATATTAATATTAATGATGGATGGTTTCATGTGTCAATCTGTCGACATATGTAAGTGCACTCAAAGTCAGCTGGCACGGCCTAGAGTGATCTTTCATGATCTTTCATGTCGATCTCTACGATAAAACAACAGGTCGGGACTCGGCTTCAATAGGATAGCTGTACGGTGTATTCTAGTGGCAATGTCATCCCTCACATGGACAGTACAACAGTACTGTATGTACATACATACCGCCAACGTCATGTCATCGCCACCTGTCCAGCTGATCATGCTCCGTCCTTCATGACGCAACACCGTGGCTTGGAATGCATATCTTTCATCAGGCTGTATACCTGCTACAAACATAGAATGATATTTGTTTATCTTTGTTTCTCAGGCAGGATAGTTTGCTGTCTGTTCCGTTCCATGGCTAGCTCTGGCGGTAACACGGCAGCATCAGGCCGTTGTGGGTCATCCCGAGAGCATCCAGCCCGATGCCCGAGAGGCGATCCAGCGCTGTCCATGCAGTGTCAAGTGGCACTGCAATGCTCCATGACATGATGGTCCCGGCCAAGATGGGCAACTAACTGCCTCCGATCGATCGCCCTGTGGCTGCCGGCCGGCCAATCGCCGAGATGGCCTCGGAGCTGCCGATTATCACTGGCGAGTCGACCGACAGCTCTGCGTCACACCACCGATATGATCCAGCATGGCCCAGGCAAAAAAGAAAAAAAGATCGTCATTGATCAGCCCACAGACACAGCCTGCATGCATGTGACAGGAATGTTAGGTACCTAGGTGGCCATGTCGTTTTGCGGGTCGTGCTGGCTGGAAGCTTTATTAAAGCCATGGCTGCTCCTTCCACGGTTCTCTTTTCTGACGTTTATATACGTCGTTGAGTCGCCTTAGACGATTAATCCTCGTCTCCATCTCTCCTCCATCTGTCACCCAGCATAGCAAGCAGGCTTGAGAAAAAAAATTTCCACCATGCCCATCGTCTCGCGACTCTTGTCCGTCGTCCTCCGTATCGGAGAGATTGGCTTTGGCGCTGTATGTCCTCTGCGTTGACTGAAATTTCCGCTTTTGTGGATTAGGACTAACGCGTCCAGATTGTCGCCGGCATCGTCGGCTACTACTTGAACCAGCTCGATGGCAGTGGATGGCCAGAGGGCCGGTGGATCTATACCGAAGTCATTGCGGCCCTGTCCATCCTGCTCGGTCTCTTCTGGCTGATCCCTTTTGCGTCGACGTTTTTTGTCTGGCCAGTCGACGTTGTTCTCGCCCTGGCGTGGTTCGCAGCCTTTGGTATTCTGGTCGACGAGCTCAACGGTCTTCCTTGTGGCACCATCTGGGACTGGGGCTACATCAACGACTACAACGACTGCAGCCGATGGAGGGCTGCTGAGGCATTCAGCTTTCTGTCTGCCATTACCTGGCTGATTTCTGGTCTTTTGGTGGGTTGCGATCTACTAGAAGGTTTTGATATAATGGCTCTGCTAATACCATGCTTAGGGACTCTACTTTGTCTGGCGTGTGGACGTCGCTGCGTAAGTTATCCTGTATACTACTATCCACTTTGGCATAACACTAACATGTGCAGTCGCCGCCGTGGCTACTGGTACGGACGTTACGACGTCTAACAGTCGATATCAACGGAGACGGTATCGCTAGTAATGAAACCAAAATTCTATGCTTGTTACGTCCTATACTTTGACGAGACTTCATATTATGATCTGATGGACATGATGACATGGATGTGATACCCTATAATATCTTCAAAATTCTTTTGCTGAGATGATGATAGTCTTGATTGGACAGCATTTGTTATCTATGCGATATTCTAATGCATAATCTTCTGCAGAAGTGAGGCGCAACAAACATTTAACAGATTGGCAGGACACTGTACTGTACTGCACTTTACAGAATGCAGCATGATCGTAGCTTCGCTTTCTCCGTTCCTTTCATACAACCAAATACAATGACTATCCAAACAACCTCTTCAAGACAGACGACTCAACTGAAATACGCCGCCGTCGCACCGAGAAAAGACAAGAAAGCAGGAATATCAGAGACGAGCGTGCGCACCGCATGGACCCGAAGCCACTGGCGGAGGTTGTCCCGGTTGCCGTTCCTGGCGGCCTTCTTTCCTTCAGGCGAATCCGGTTCGACAATGGGGCGGATGGCGGCGATGATCTAGGAATCAGTCAGCATGAAGGAGTACAGCATGAAGGAGCAATCAATTGTATTTTTTTTCCCCTTTTGACAACTCACCCAAGGAACAAGCACGAAATGCGCCATGGAGAATACCGTTCCTGCGACGTAGAGCCATCCCGCTGCTGCCTTAGTATTATCTTTCCTCCGCGACAGTAGATATCCCGCTATTCCGCCGATGAGACTGCCAGCGCCCTGGCTGAGAACCAAGCTCACGCCCAGGGGGAAACTCTTCTCCCAGACGGTGCGGATAGGCGGGATGCGTTTGTCATTGTCGTTGTCATCGCTGTTTTTATTTATCGTTGTTATTGCTGCCCTCATCTACGGCCAGCAATGGCGCTAGATAGGTGACTTCTGCATAGGCAAAGGTCAGGGCTCCAGTAGAGGAGACGAGGCCGAGGAGAGGGAGGAGTGTGTGGTGGTGAAGGGGATTGTTGTTGAAGGAGAAGACGGGGAGGATGTCGGCGAGAGAGCGGGGGAGGAGGCCTGTGGACGCCATGCTGTTGATTTAATTAATTGATTGAATTGATTTAATAAGGAATTGTTAATAGAAGGCCAAGTTGTATCGTCAATTTAATTGAATTGATTAAAATAAAAATGATTATTACTAAGTCAGTCAATGAATGACAGGAGGCAGGCCATGCTGCCAACTTAATATATAATGTACTACGTCGAGTTAAGTGAGCTACCTACCGAGGTTGGTTGGTCCAGACGTCATCTATTATCCTACCGAGCAAAAATCTACGAGCACCCTGTCGACTACCCTTCTCGTTTTAGTAGGTGAGCATCGCCGCCCTGAGCTCACCCGATGGCGGGTGAGTGGGGTGATCGCTGTGCGACGGTCGCGCGACTAGAGTGATTAGGTTCAACTTTGGTCTTCCAGCTGGTATGGACAAGTCTCAGATTCTCTATACCACAATTTCCTATTGGTGGAGTTTTCTGCACGTCAAATATGACAGTTCTGTGTCTCTCATTGGTTTAGAGACATTCGCACAGCCTCTTCTGTTGCTGCCTTAAGACCCGCCAATTGTGGCTCAGCATGTCTCTGCGGAACATGAAAATGAAGTTCCAGTTCTTCTCCCAGGTATTTAGTCTGCAGAGCATCCTCATTTATTGCCACCATTATGATTGTTTGGGTATTAAGCATTCTATGGTCATCTCATTGGATTCCACCGACTTCTTTTTTTTTTATGTTCCTTTTATTGTTAGATTTAGGATAAGGGATTTCTGGGCTATTGATTTGCTAGCCTATAGCATGACCTTTTGGCAAATAATTCTGTCAAGTAAGAGTTATGTGTAGCATCAACATATGAAGGCTTGGCCATAATGTGGTAAGAGAGTAGGTATCTTCATGCATGCCCTGAATTGGGCTATATCCTGGGCACAGGCTTTGCCGAGGACTATAAAGCTTGTAGCAGTTGCCTTATAAATGCAAACATGCTAATTATTCTTGCAATGCTGGTGGCCTCCATGGAAAATTCATTGGCATTTCCATTAACAGAGACTTCTTGTAACGTGAGCTCAAGTCTTCTAAATTTGTGTCCGCTCTTTCTCTTCTCTTTTCTTTCTCATTGCTGACAGGTTTGATTTTTACAGGAACTAAGCATTCCAATGTTCAGGTATGGACTTGTTCTTATATCTCGATTTGCATGCTTGCATGCTCATATTTCACAGCATCGAGTTTATCCTCGAGGTCCGCCGGCGATATAGAATCGTACGGGTCAATGGAGTGGATGACAATGCCTTGAACGAACTAGACAAAGTCCTGGGAACAGAGGTGGCAAGTGTCGCTGGACTCAACGATGGGGGAAAAAAAAGGGGGGATGGTTGGTGGCTTTTTCTGGGACTTCTTGTGTGTTGCAATTGACCGTTCAGGGTTGAAAAAATAAAGGAGGTCATACCTGGATTTTGAAGGCTTCCGGAATCTAAATTCGCTGAAAGTGATGGCCTCATCTCCACATTGTTTTAAACAAAAAAAAAGGGTAGTGAGAATATTAATGATAAAGCCAAAAGAAACGGCCTTAATGATGATAGTTCCGGAACTTATTCTGGGTAGTATATCCTAAATTTACTCCATTACTTCCAATAGAAGAGCACTTTCAGTAAATATGTATGCCTTAGATGCCTGCTTTGCACGATGTAATGTGGAAAAGTACTATAGTCGTGTCTCTCAGGATTTTCTTTACCAGTTTAAGGATATGTATTATGCCATTTTAGATTCATGGTTTAGGGTAAACAATTAGAGTGAGTGTATAATAAGCTTCTATCTAGACTTTAAAAAGTAACAGTATCTATCTATTCTAAATCGATTCCAACTCCATATGAGTGTTAGATCGGTAGGTACAATAATAGGCGGTCTAATCTAACAATTGCAATCCTAGCTCATCAGCGATTGATTGGCTGCAAGATGTTGACGGATGTTGGGGTCGGTCCCGTTGCCAACATTGGAAGTTCGAAGGAATGTACTGTAACAAATTCAGGAATTGAAGAGCAGTAATATATAGAAATCGATGTCATGGTATTAAGAGTACTACCCCTTCTTCTTAAGAATTGCCCCTAGTCTCCTGCTCAGTGTTAGTTTTTATACCATCTCCCCTAGATCCCATGCATCTTATATTAGTAAGAGCTACTCTAGGCATGTATGTACATACGTACATACCTCCTACCTAGTTAGGTAGGCAAGCTTTATCTATCTACTTAGGTATCTACCTACCTACCTAATGTACGCCACTCTGCCGGCAAGTAATGTAAGTCCTCGTCCTCTATCTATCTACGCTTGCAGTTACGAGTCATGGGTATGACCCGACCCATGGTCCATCTAGTCAGTAGTCTTCAGGGCAAACGGCGAACTCAGCCATCTGCTGCAAACGAGCGAGCGAATCGATTCGATTCGATTCCATTCAAGCATTATTTTAGACAACACGACAGCACGCTACGCTATGGCACGGACATCTGTTTAGGTACATAACCTAGATAGATACGTATTTGGCCCTAACTACAGAAGGTGCTCGATCTTACTCAGACTCAGACTCAAACTCAAAGTCAAACTGTCAGAGAATGCCATTGCCATCCTAGTAGGTACGTACCTACCTAGGTATCAAACTATTAAACTATCGAACAGGACTATCGAAACTACCCACTGACCTGCTAGCAACTAATTCAGCGAGAAGTCGTCGTATAAATCAATGTTTTTTTAAAGTTTCGGACCCCATTCGGGCATATAATATAATGTAATTTCCCCCGCATTGGCATTGGCATTGGCCCTTCTAGAACGCTCCTATCTTCTCTTCTTCTATCCATCCATTTTTCATCCATCAGCACTAACAAACAGTACTAGCTAAATTTCAAGCTTTCAGGCTAAGATACGATCAAGGATCATGGATCGAGGGAATTTGAAAAATATCTCAGCCTCAGCATTAACTTTAGTCTTAGCATGAGTCTTAGCCTCAGCCTCACTCACACAAGTCTGTATAGTCTGTATACTCTACTCTATCGGGAGTCGGCACTCTGTCAGCCTCCAGGTCTCAGACCGTCGGACTTTGCAACATGCCGAAGCGAGCGCCGTATGAACCGTTAAGTTGCGTTGGCTACTACCTAGATACATATCATATCATATCATAACTTTAAAAAATCTACGGTTGACAGTAGATACCTGTCTATCCTATCTGCAGGTAGTTGGGAAGAATGGAAAGGGAATGAAGTACTGGTGAAGAAAAACCTTAACTACATTGCGAGACAACTATCGATCCTCCTCCTCACTCTGGGAGGCGACCATCAGCAAGTAGCTCTATAATTTTGCTCGTTTCCTCCACATATGTCTTTGGCGCATCATCCATAAGAGCCCTTTTCATGCCTTCTTGAGCCATTCTGTTCGCCGCATCTGCGCGATCGTAGATATTGGACTCATATTTGCGAATTGCCTCGTCGAGGTCGGTTGGATTCTCGACAATGGCGTTGGCTAATTCCAATGCATCCAGCATGGCCAGATTGACCCCCTCTCCCGCAAATGGCGACATCAGGTGAGCGGCGTCCCCTACCAGGGTCAACCCTTTTTGTGTCTCCCATCTAGAACCGAGAGGCACCTGGTACACGGGACGAGGAAAGATGGGCGCATCCGCATAGCGCACAAGATCCTTGAGACGGTCATCCCAGTTCTCAAAGAATGATACAAGCAGCATCTCTTTAATCTTCTCGGTGTCGTCCCAATTCAGCGCTGGATCAAATGCCCAACTCTCTGGAACCTGTAAACAGGGATAGACACGAATGCTGCCATCGCCATTTCGCTGAGCAAGGAGTCCACGACGCTGACCAAAGGCGAATAGGGATCCGCGGCCCAGGAACTTCCCCATGTCCGGGTATTTCTCATCAAGATTGTAGATTCGACTATCAATCATCGTCATCCCGGCATAGTAAGGTTGCACGTCTGTCAACAGTGATCGTACTTTGGACCGTCCCCCATCAGCACCGATGACAAGGTCGGCAACTTCAGTGTCCTCCCGATCTTTAAAGTGTACTTCAAATCGACCATCGTCTTGTCGCTTGACTATTGATACATGGTGGCCCCATCTGATACTTTTGGGCTCGATCGATTCCAACAGAATGTTTCGCAGAACCAGGCGATCAATCTCCGGACGGCCTTTAGCGTCAGGAGGGGCTTTGTAATCTAGCCAGATCTTGCCGTCCTTGTCGGCCACTCGGAAATCTTGATCGTGGTATCGGGCATGTTTGTTGAAAGCATCGATAAGGCCACATTCAAGAAGAGCTCGTTGGCCGGACGCAGGATGGAGGTCAAGGGAACCACCTTGGAGCCGAGCGTTTGGCGAAGCATCTCGCTCATAGATGGTAAAGGGGATGGAGTGGCATTGCAGAAGACGACCAAGCGTGAGGCCTGCTGGGCCGGCTCCGATGATGATAATGCGCCGCTCAGGCATGCCTAATGTCCGTTCAAATGAAAGAAGAAAAACCCGATGGAAAGAATTTGAGAAGGCCTTTTTTTCTCGCTCAAGGACATCGTGTTAATATTCGGTGATTCTTAACTAATATATGGACAATGAAAAGGATGCTAAGGCCAGTCGAGAGTGATTCAATGAATTATGCAACGGCATCTCGGATGCTATGAGATCCGGTCAGGAAGGAGCTGATCATCTGATAAGATATGCATCGGCTTCGCGTCCCAACTAAGGCCGAAGGCAAGGAAAGCCTCCGAGGCCGAAACTCTAGTTGCATTTAGTGGAGTAACTAACGTTCAGCAACTTGTATATGCTTATTAATTACGACCAGTTTCATAAAAGTAATTTCTATGCCGCGCTCGTCATGCAATTTGGAAATATCCTTGAGAAACAGAGGAGCCGAAGATTGTCATTGACTTGATCCATCTTCTTCAATACCCCCGGGGACATATACTCAGATTATCTATTATGCCTACCGAATCGGGCGATTACTTCGATCGCAGTGTAAAAGGTCCGTCACCACTGAGCAGCACCATATTTATCGGCCTCCGATGGGCGGATCTTCCTTTACAGTATTATCTCCTACAGCGTGGCTGGGGCGCTTCGATCATCCAACGTCTAGGGGGACAACCCGTTCACCTGGGAACCGGGGGAGGGATCCTCAGCCTTGCACCATACCATACCGCTGTCTGTGCAATGGCGTTGGGTAGTACAGTCAAACATACCGTCTACCAACTTGTGGTCCTGGATACAAAGGTCCCAGTATCAATTGCTGCCCTAATTGGCACGATGAATTCGATCATTAATTCTATGAATACCCTCCTTTCCCTCTGGACGGTCACCTCTCTCGCCCCGGTTCCACCAAGCTTGCCATCCTCGTCTGCATTCTACATCGGTGTCGGATTGTATTCGATTGGCATCCTCACCGAACTGGTGGCTGAGCTGCAGCGCAAAAGATTTAAATCTGATCCACTGAACAAGGGCAAGCCCTACTTCGGTGGCTTGTGGTCGTTGGCAACCAATATCAATTATGGTGGTTATATACTCTGGCGCGCCGGTTATGCTCTCGCTTGTGGTGGCGTATCCTGGGGGCTCTTCTGCGGGAGCTTGCATTTCATCGATTTTGCGTTCAGGGCGGTGCCAGCCATGGAGAGGTACTGTACCAAACGGGTATGTCCAGTTGCATAGTTTTGTGCAATGCTTGTTGATGCATCTATTGCTAACTCGAGCTTTCTAAATGACAGTATGGCACAGAATACACGAAAAAGAAAGAGAACGTACGCTACAAACTGCTTCCAGGTATCTTTTGAGTAAATAAGGTGATGGAAAGGATGTATCTCGGATACTTCATGCTTAAGAATATATGGGCGACAAAATTTGACGGGCAGGCCTCCGTCGGACTTTGCAACATGCCGAAGTGAGCGCCGTATGAACCGTTGAGTTAACAAGGCAGGCAACCCTATAGAATTAATAGACACGCGTATCGATATCGATATCTGTATCTGTTGTGTATATTCTGTATAGAGTGTAGTACATAATTCATTCACTACATGCCTATAGATAGAAGTATATATAGATATATATAATAGGTACTCTGGTGGAATGGTATCCAGGTATCTATCTATCTATCTATCCCTTTTCGGGTAGGGATAGGTAGGTACATTACATACCTAGGTACATGAGGTATCAATCAATGTACTCGGCCGTTTTGGGAGCCCTTCTAACCATGGCATCACATCTCATCTTAACTCTGTGCACATTTCTGGGTGGTACCACCAGTTGCTTCACTTCTGTCTTGACTCTTTAATTAATTAAAAACTTTGAAATTGTACAGTACATACATACCACGATAAAGCTAGCGCCTGATCTAGGTTCTATTTTGCCAGTTTACCGTCCAGAGTACAGAGCATCAAGCCAAAATATATGATTCTCAAAAACTCACCGGGTAACAATCATACATTGATTATCTGCGTGCTTTTGATATCCCATTGAATCTTGATTGAGGAGATGGCCCGTTTCGTGTCCCGAGCTGAAAGTCTGCGCCGTATCTATTCTTTGGATGTCAACAACGGTAGTTCAGTCCAATAAGCGATGTGTGCTTTTGATATCTTGCCCTATAACATGTAGATGTTGCAAGAGGCGCACCTTTGAAAATTGATCGTCAGCTTGTCTCTAAGTTGCTGACATTAACGAGTAGACTTGTACCGCCGTACCAGATCGCCCTGGTGCGCTCCCGAAGCCTCTTGGAGAGCCTCCGCGGCCTCTGTCTCTTGGGCCTCTTCTTCCCCGGGCACTATCTCCCCAGCCGCGTTTAGAGTACATGATTCTGTAAAGATATGTGAGTCGATGAAAAGGAGATCACAAGCATCACAAGAGGGTTGCTGTTTGCAGGCGGAGCATTTAACCTGCGAGTCGTCACATCTGTATCATTGATTCGGACAGCTGCCCAAACAGCGGCCGACATATTGCCTTTGTTGCCTTTTCTGGCTTGCTGCAGGGTATTGGCACCAGTCCCAAGCCCGTTCAATATCGATTTAACGGGCGGACCCTCTCATAACCATTCGCTTTGGCACAAGCAAGTCTATCCACCTTTGTCTTCGGCATTTTGGAAAATTTCAGCCACTAATCTACAGCAGAAAAAAAGAAGTAAAGACAAGAGAAGAAAGAATAAGAAGAAAAGTGAAGGAAATCTATAGAGATAGGCATAGAAATAAAGAAAGATTTCTGCAAAATCATTAACAAGTACAGAAGAGGAGAAAAAGGAGAGGGAACAAAAGGCTGGAAAGAACCAAGGAGAAACAAGGTCGCAGGACACAATTTTTCTCATTGTCCTTTTCTCTGAGGTCAGCAGGGGATGGTGCACTGCCACCTTCATTATCCAATCTCTTCTCTGCATAGTTCCTGGGTTGGATGTTGCTAAACAGCCGGCGCAAGTATAAGGGAAGGACAGGTGAAGATGGGGTGAGTATAAATGAACTTGGGTGAGCGAATCACTTTGACTGGGTGATCTGATCACCTGACTCACCCAGCTCACCCGCTTAAAGCGGCGATGTCCAAGTGAGGAAGGAAAGAGCTGCTCGCAGATTTTTATACGATATTTTGACCTACCTAGGTATTACCAGTGGTTGCCTAACAGTAGATTGGTACAACTCACAGGAAATCATAATATTAATATTACCATATTAACTTGTTGTACGCCATTGAGAGTCAAATTTAAATCGCATTATATACCTCGTACGAATACTGTACTGGTGTACGGAGTACACTGCTGAGCTTCCCCGGGTTCCTCAATACATTACATACTCCGTACATTCTCCATACATGGACTCGAGTTCTGAACGAAAAGACAAGTATCCAATGATAATCACGCTCTGCGTCGCATTACTAATGGATTTCGTCCACTACCGTCGTATGCCATCGACTGCATGACGCACGGGATCCGGGGGAACTTTCTGACTCGATTCGGGACGGATCCGCGAAAGACGGACGGATCGGGACTGAATCTTCCCGGCGGGACGTAGGTATAACTTAGCATAGATGTATGTACTTCCTGTACGGAGTATAGGGGATGGACTGGTTATGATTATTTTGACAACAGATGTAATTAATAATTATTGAAGAGCACAGAGTATTACTGGAAGAATTATTTTAGGATGGAGACGAGACGATTTGTACTGCTGCTGCTCTCAATTACGTAGTGGATTATCTAGAATTGGCCTTGTTCACCGCCTTCCGTTTCGGAAGAACAGCCAGCAGTAATTATGCTCCTTTTCGATAGAAACAGTTGACTAAATTGTGTCTTCCTGGGTCAGAAGCATTAAACTGCTAAAATGGCAGTTTACACAATTTAGCGGTCTTGCAGTCAAGTATGCACAGTCCTGTAGGTACTACTGTACTGCCTACTGCCTGCTAATTCTGCCGGACAAAACACCCCGCCTCCTTCTCTCCTCCGCTCAGCTTCGGTGATACTCAATTGGCAATTGACTGAAGGCTAGGGACCTGAGAAGCAGGCGATCATGTCTCTGGACCAAGATGGCAGTTCACGAAACAATCCAGTTTACCCCCACGTTTCGTCTTCCTCCCCCCTGAAAGATCTCGAGTCCGGCGTCTCCGGAAGGGAAGACGGCTTCGTCGACCTCAGCAGGCGGTCGTCCGAAAGTTTGCATTCTGCGCCATCGGATTCGCTCGAGCTGCTGGACTATGGCAGCCCGGATGCGGGATTGCTAGGTCAGACAGGGCCATCGACCTCGTCCAGACGAAAGGGCTGCTGGGGGTCCTGTGCTGCGTGGCTCAGCGGACCGCAGCCTCCCCGCCAGTACCGCATCGAGCCTTTCTTTCCTCGCTTCCAAACGGCGCCTCTCCGTCTCGTCGATCGATTCTTGCCGACGAGGAGCTCGCGCGTCTGGGCCCTGGTCGCGTTCCATGCTCTTTGGGCGCTGATATTCTTGTCTATCCTCCATCGGTCGGTCACGGGTCCCGACATCCCCGGATATGGATCTCCTGTCAGACTGTCTTGCGGCGCTCAATTATGGTAAGAAATAAATATCTTTTTTCTCGCTTCAGTGCCTATGCTGATTGCTCACGACTTTAGGTCCAATAGTACCAACTGCGGGCTCAACGGTGACGAGTGCCGTCCCTTCGACGACGCCTCGTTCGCCTTTCGCTGCCCCGCCGGTTGTCGACAGACTATCCTCCTGGAACCGTACACCGTCGGCGACCAGGACTACAACTACCGGCCTCTGGTCATTGGGGGTGCGGCAGACGCTGAAGGCGATGGCATCTACCGCGGAGACTCTTTCCTCTGCGCGGCCGCGCTGCACGCCGGCGCGATCAACGACCAGACCGGAGGCTGCGGCATCCTTCGTCGCACGGGAGAGCAGAGTAACTACGCCAGCGTGGAGAAGAACGGCATTTCCAGCATCCCATTCCCGTCTAATTTCCCGCTGTCCTTAACCTTTGAGCGCGGCCCCATTGCGGCTTGTCGTGATCCGCGGTGGCTGCTGTTCGCCATATCGGTGTTTTTCACGGCCGTGCTCTCCCTGGCCACGACGTCGCCGGCCGTGTTCTACTCCTCCGTGTTTTTCATCACCTACTTCCAAGTCGCGCTGGCGTCGGATCCGCCTTTCTCGCCGGATTATAACGAGGTCGTCTCCATCGGCCTGGGTCGCTTCCTCCCGGCTGCCTTTGTCGGATTTGCCATCTACTACTTCTGCGTCCGACGCACCCTGACGGGGCTGACGGCGCAATGGGAGAAGACGGTCCTGTGGCTCGGCGGCTGTTGGGTTGGAGCCTTGAACACCGACACTTTTGACCGGATCCCCATCTCGCGGCTGACGCCTCACGACATCCAGCAGCAGCCCGGCGCCGTGCCGGCGCTGATCATCATCGTCGCGATCCTCGTCGTCGCCCTGCTGTCGCAAGCGTGGGCCCTGTGCATCGAAGGGCGACTCCCGCAGTATCTGCTCCTGTACGGCGTCATGGCATGCGGTCTGTTGGCGATGCTGGCCGTGCCGCAGCTGGACCTGCGCATCCATCACTACATCCTGGCGCTGCTCTTTCTGCCGGGGACGGCGCTGCAGACGCGGCCCAGTCTGCTGTACCAGGGATTGCTAGTGGGGCTGTTCATCAACGGCATCGCACGCTGGGGGTTCGCCAGCATCCTGCAGACGCCAGCCGCGCTGCTCGAGGGAGCCCAGCTGGGCAGTCTACTACCCAACATCGCCGTGCCAGTCATCAGCGGAAACAACAGCATCACTTTTTCCTTCCCATGCTCCCCGACGACGTCGCGGGTATCAGCGTCCTAGTCAACGACGTCGAGCGCTTCCGCGCGTATCGCGAGAACGAGAGCGAGAGCGACGCCGCCACACCCTTCCACTGGACACGCCTGAGGGCAAACGAGACAGAATTCTTCCGCTTCGGATACTTCAAGACAAGGGATCTGGGAGGAATATGGTATGAAGACTTTACCAAAGCGGGGACGTGGCTGGCGGACGGGAGCTGGGTGCATATGGCGCCAGGGGCGAGTCGATGACAACCCTTTTTCTTTTTCGTTTTTTTTTCAAAGTGATGTATATAGTATATATATACGTTTATGATGGTAAGGAAGTAAGTGACTAGACAGACGTAGATATGTATGTAGAGTACATAGATAGATAGTTAGAAGTTAGATAGAAGCTTAGATATGGATGTATGTTATATATATCAAGTTACCTTGTCTATATAGCAGGGTTGTTTGTTTTGTTTTTTCTCATCAATCAATGAAATACAGAATACAGAATGAATAACTCTATCCTTTTTTATTTTTAAAGAGAGCTAAGCTAGCAAATTAACAATACCGAAACGAAACGAGAACTCTAATTAAAAAAAATAAAGACCCTTGCAAGACCTTGACCTTGATCTTAACCCGAAAACACCACCTACCTAGCCCACAATACTCCAATACTCGTCGTCGAATGTATATACATGACCGAAAGAGAAAAAACAGAAACCCATGCAAAGAAAATTTCCTGTGCCTTTACCAATCAATGCCAATCAATGCTGATGCCAACGCAAAAGGGGTCTTTGGGAACCCCGACTAGGTAAAGCAGTTTAGCGAAATATGCGCCTCGATCGAGGCAAAAAAAAAAACAAGAAAAAGAAAAAGAGAGAGTGTATGTGTGAATCACCCCTCACGATAATCCTTACAGCCCACCTGCACAATGCGCTGTTTCTGTCCCCCGTTCTCGATCACCAGAGCGGTCAACTTCTTGCCCTTGACGCAGCCCGTGTCGAGACCTTTGGTGTATTTCTGCAGGTTCAGGCCTGACGCGGCGTCGTGGCCGTACACGACTGTCATTGTGCTGGATTCGGGGTTTTCGTTGTCGTTGTCGTTCTCGTTTCGGAGGAGGGATTGGTATTTGTTGAATAGCTTGATGATCGTCAGTTTATGACTCAGGTCAGACGTGTCAGGGTGATGGGTTCTGGGTGCCTACCTTACTCCATGCTACGCCCTTCCGCGACGAGCTTGGTACGTGCGTCTCCAGATCGATGGTCCGCATCGTCATCACGCTCGATGGATCCTGTCGTTCGAGATCCAGCCCCGGAACCAACCCACCGTGCACGACGACCACGTTCCCCATCCCCTTGATCTGGCCCAGCTTCAGGATCACCGGACACGCCTCCAGCCACGCGGCCTGCGCGTCCGTCAGCTGCCGCGCGACCTTGCGCTCGCTGTAGTCGCTTCGCTCCTTGTCGTCCTTGTCCGACGACTGATGTAGCGTGTTCTTCAGCTTCATCTGCTGCCGCAACAGCAGGATGCGGTCCTCGTGGTTCCCGCGGACGCAGGATGCATGCAAACTGCGCGCGAGGTCCACCACCTCCGCGCTGTGAGGGCCTTTGTTTATCAGATCGCCTGTGAGAATCAAATGGTCGCCCCGGTTGGCGTCGAAGTGCACCTTTTTCAACAGTTTCTCCACTGGTCGCTGCCGTTAGCAAGAACGCCGGTGTCAGAGCGTAAAGACACAATCCGCACACATACATTCATCCTTGCATCCATGCACATCCCCCACAATCACTAGCCTCCGTCCATTGTCCTTGCTCGGGAGTAGAGACGGATCCAGAGTCCTCATCTGGATGATATCCGCCAACGGGGGCCGGGCATTGCTGCCGAACCAGCCTCCCACGCTCTCCTCCGACTCGATATCCAACGCCTTGATCAGCGCCGCATCCTCGTCGAGCCGCGGCTTCATTATCCCCTCCCACCCGGTGAAAAACACCACCAGCAGTATGATGTAGACAGTAAGGTATCGGCGGAACTTGGGCGCGAACACGATGGCTGCGAGAACCTTGACCCATCTCGGGACTTCACGGTCAGAAGGCGACGAGGACTGGGAGCTGCGACGCCGGCCAGGACGGTTTGCGTTCCGGGCGAAGTTGATCAGCGGGCGCTGGGGAAAGCTGCGGAAGTAGGGCGTTGGACCTGCTCCTCCTCCTCCAAAGGCTGGAGAATTGTCATCGTCATCATCGTCATCGTCATCGCTGCTGGAGACTTCGAGGTTGTCGAGGTCGAAGTATAGGGACTGTTGTCTGGTAGTATCCGGCAGATCCGTCGTCATTGTGATCTTGTCCGTCATGGTCGTCGCATTGGTGTCGTCTGCTGCAGAGGTCGTTCTGGGACGAGGAGCAGCACCTCCTTCACCGCAAGTAATCGATCTCGGAGAATAACTGACGCTGTTGTTGCTGTACAGAAGTGGACACTGGACGCCTTGAGAATTTGACGAGTCAAAGAAGACAGCGGAGGTGCAGCCTCTATCTGATTAGATTCCAGACCTCAGCATGCCATTTCCTAGCAAAAATCAATTAGGAAGAAAGAAGAGGAGACGATCAACACCGACTAGCCATCATGCCAAGTCAGGAGTCCTGAGGATAATGCGCACGCGAGCACCTGCTGCAGCCTGCCCAGTCTGCTAGTTCTTTCTAGTCTGATTGATTATCATCTGCGGACTTACGTATGGCTGCTCCACGCGGCCTCGCCTAGCGATGTTCGTCTCTTGGCGGTTCCGTCCGCAACAAATCAGTGATAAGACCATTGCTTGCTAGGCTGGATAGCTAGCGACAGACACGGAATATCGGCAGCGAAGTGTCGTACTCTGTGTCGTACTCAGTAATAATAGTATGCATACTCTGTATTTCTGACACATTCAGCTAGGGACACTGCCACAGCCACAGTTAATACTCCGTACGGAGTACTCCGTAGGCCTCTGTCGTCCCCGCAGATCGATCGGGATCTACAGTTTAGATCCTAGCCAGGATTTAGTTTGCTACAGTACGGAGTACTAGGTAGCTAGATAGACAGCAGATTGGCTGCAGATCTAACAGCCTTGAGTATTGCTGGTTCTACATATGGTACAGCCTACCGATATTTCTCATACCTCTCTGCTTCGTCAAGGCGCTCCTGGACCTTCTGCAGCACCTTCTCGTCGTACACTTCTGCTGCTTGCTTCCCGCCCAGGAGCACCTCCCTCTCATGCCGCTGAGCTTCTTCCCTGGTCATGCAGACGAGGTCTTTCAGTTCCAGTTTCACAAACTTCTGCCCTTCCTTCTCCCAGTCCGGGTCAATCCGAAACCCTCCAGCGGGCCGTGTCCACGGAATCAGGGAGAGTCGGTTGGGAAGACCGCTGACCACACTCTTTCCTCGCCATATCTCTTCAACCAGATATGCAACATCGTCTTTGCTGACGGGGATGCGCAGCCCCACCAGATCCTGACCCGCCTCAGCCCTGGCGAGCCTCTCGATCGATGCTTGTAGGCTGCCTAAGACGCCGTCATACAGTTTGTCCCTCGTCTTGCTTGCCATGCTGTACTCGATCGGATAGCCCGTGATCTCGCAAATCACATGGTTCGAGATCGTGTAGCCAAAGACAGCGGGCATCGTGCCCAGGACGGGCAGAATACGGACCCGGAAATCAGGAAGCACGCCCAATTCCCCGACCTGGCCCTTTTGGAATTCTTCCTCCGGAAGTGGGAGAAGAGATGCCTTCCCAGGACCCGGTTTCTCGGTGGAGAAGACCACCGGAATGCCGGAGCTGACGCCTTGCAATCGCAAGCGCCGTCGAGTGCTGCGCGAGAGAGGGTCTTCGGCGCTGACGGAGATGTCGCCAATGACGACTCGAGTCGGGTCAGACTTGCAGCCTGCTCCCATCGAGGAGATCACGCGAATGCCGTGTGAATGGCAGTAGTGCAGCAATTCCACCTTGGAGCTGATGTTGTCGATGCAGTCAATGACATAATCGGGTTGCTGTGGCTCGCTTCCAGTCAATGTCCAAGGCCCCAGAAGCTTGTCGGCCACAGATGCCCCGAACAGTTCGTTTCGACAGTCGAACATGACCCATGGCGCGATCTGCTCCAGTCTCCGCCGAATGCATTGCACTTTCGGTGTGCCCACGTCGGCTAGCGTTGCGACGGCGTGTCTGTTCAAGGAAGACAGGGTGACTTGATCGAAATCAATCAGTCGAATTTTGGATACGCCGGACCGAGCGAGCGCCGCTGTCGCATGCGATCCTACCCCACCGCAGCCCACGACGATTATAAACGAAGAACGGAGCTTTTGAAGACCCTCGTCTCCCAGAAAGACCCGGTTGCGCGCAAGCTGTTCGAGAATGAGGTCTGGACAGGATAAAGCGTCAGTAAACTAACCCTCTGTATTGACACGTTCGAGCTTCTCACCTTCATCGTAGTCTCCCTGCTGCGCTCTCCGAGCCAGGGCTGCGCTGCGCTCATCTTCCTTACTCAATGCCAGCATAGGAGGGCTGGCAGTACCGTATTTTGTGAGCTTCACTTCCGCCCGTTAGTCGCAGCCATACAACCACCAATCCGAGTATCAGCCTGCACGAACCTTCTCCGCATGGTGTCGCTCGTCGATCTTTGGAATGGATGCCTTCAATTTTTCTACCGCCGCATGCCGCTTCATCGCCTGGAAACCCAAGATGCCAGCTGCCACGGCGGCTCCCGACAGCACCGCCGTCGCGGCAAGCTGGACTTGGTGGGAACCAGCTTGCTTCTCGAGCCACGAAGCCATTCCCTCCTACTTGTAGTTCTCGTAGCTATTCGTGTCGCTTTCGCTCGTCTTCGGAGTAGTCGCAATATTCAAGGTCGTCCCGATATTCCTCCTCGCATTGACTGAAGGAATGGGCCAGTCTAGAAAGCCAATTCATGGCCGACAAGGACTGCAGCGTTCGCCATGTTGGAAGACAAGAGCTCTGCTCTTGCGATTAGATGCCTATTCCGTGCATAGTTCTGCTCGAAGCATCCTCTGTGGATCCAGCCATGCGGTCACGCCTGCGCCATCTCGGTCCGAGCAATTCTCCGGCCTCGGTTAGCTCCAACCGACTTTTCTGCGTCCGCGTGGCTGCTCGACATTTCTTCACACTTCTCACAACAATGCTGTGCGGATTTCGGTGCGCCAGCATCAGAAGGTGAGCCGCTCCACTGCTTACTCTCTTTTTTCCTGGTCTTCAGGTCTAATCTAACAATCTACAGTCCAAGGACAGTGCTGCACTCAAGTCTCAATGACGATAAACCTCACTTGAGCTCCTGACGCGTTATCATCATCATAGACACGCGACACGGACTTCATCCCTCGTTGCGGCGAGTGGAAGAAGACGTGTTCGCAACGCGGCTGATAGAGGTGAACAGAGATCTTAGAGACTCGAAGCAGCCCATGTCAGTGGCTTCTGATGCGGTCGACACCCTTTCTATCCTGCCAGCCTAGCTAGGTTGGCATTCTTCTTGATCTAGTTTCTTTTTTTTTTCCATGCTGTGTCACTCTTGAGTTCGCCATTTAATGATGATGGACAAACTCCGGAGTGCCAGCGATGTATGCATACATACATTGCCTTGATGATTGGCATGCCTATTCTGTGGATGATCACCCAGACGTTACCTTCATTTTTTTTTCGTTTATTTCTTGTGCTTTTTTCCCCCTCACATTCTTCCACGTCACACCCTGCACCTTCATATCCCATGCCTTATGATGACTTTGTTAGGACACCTCGGAGGCCGCGTACTACGGTACTCAAGCTCCGCGCGTCGGCCCTTTGCGGGTGACCACGGAAGCAGGCCGTTGACGAGCCTTTACCCAAAGGTAGTTTTCAATCTGATGGCTAGGGATTGCATTGCACATGCTGCACTTCTGCATTTGTTTTTTGTCAGACTTGCCCCAGGAGCATTACCTCGTTGGCTTTCTCCCTGCAGACTAACGACAACAGCAGACATCAAATGCAATCCACCCGCGGATAGCATGCAATGCAATTCAAGATACAGAGCAGCTTTCTGTCATTTCTGGACATTTCCGCAAATGTATATTCAGCAGCTATACAATAGACTGACAATATTTTTTTATTCTTTCCTTGAATGAATTCATAAATTCTTTCCTCTTTCCTCTCAGTTCAATTCAATTCAATCCTATCCTTCTCTCCCGTTTTAAAAAACTCTTCTTTTCTAACAACAAGCCCTTTTTTTAATTTCAACGACTCGCTCCGCTCGTCTAGTCCAGGCAAAGCCCAATGATGACCCTCGTGTCCAAAAGCCAAAGTCGATGGTATCCGGCAAGACCAAAGATACAAAGACAGACATGTGTGACCTGGTGAAACACACCAGGACACCATGCAAGTCATTTAGTTGCATGGAAACCGATGCGAACCTGAGAGCTAATCTGAGGGCTTTGCCTGATACATCATATATCATATATATAATATACTCGATATACTTGATAGGTACTTGTAGTGCAGTAGGCTAGGCTAGGGAGTACTTGGTGATGAAATGGAATGGTGTATTGTAGTATAACAGTATAATGAAATCAATCGTTATGGTATGTATAGACAGGAGATGGGAATTCCGAATTCGATCCAATATACACGTGAATAAATACGAGCATCGATATACACAAAACAGGAAATAATGCATAAACGTATAAACCCTGTCTAACCTTTTAAAAAAAAATAACGCCTGCAAATGCACTCATTCATCACCGTCGTAGCCGTCGTCTATCCCAAGAACTTCCCCACTCTCCCACCAATATTCTCCAAATCCAGCAGGAAAGTGTCATGGCCGAACAGCGATACATCCTCCCCCAACTCGGCATGCTCGACCTGCTTGTTGCCCGCCGCACGGAGCGCGTCGGCGATCTCGCGCTGCTGCCATGCAGGGAAGAGGATGTCGCTCGCGACACCGAGGACGAGGACGGGGTGGTTCTTTAGCGGAGCGAGGCCGGCGACTAGGTCCTGTGGCGGCCCTGTCGACGTCGACGAGGAGTCGCCGTTGTCAGCGACGGGTTCGTTCATCGGCGCAGCGGCGGACAGCTGCTCCTCGTACGGTTTGTCGGGAAGCGTCAGGCTGCATGACGGATCGCCGGCTTGGACTTTCCATCCATTCTTGGCTATTCGCTTCGCGTTCTCTTCCCTCCTCTTGCGAGTCGCGACCTGGTGCGAGTGGCCCAGGTCGAACAGATCCATCGCCTTGGACACGTACAGCAGGCTGTTGGGGTCGTACTCGAGGCAGAACTTCTCCCCCGCGTGGTCCAGATACGTCTCGATGAGAAAGTCCGGGCAGAGCGCCGGCTGCTTGCTGGGGTCCGCCCGTTTCCGGCCAAACCGCTTCTCCCACTCGGGTCCGCTCCGGTAGGTCACGGTTGCGATCTCCCGGGCGAGCTTCATCCCCGTGTGCGGCGGCACCGAGTCGTAGTAGAACCCGCGCGCCCATTTGGGATCCATCATCAGGACCTGCCGCTGCGTGTGCCGCATCGCAATGCTGTACGGATGGCTACGGGCACACCCGCTGATGCTGACTATCTTCCCGATCCGCTCGGGAAACAGCACGCCCGCTGCCAGACTCTGCATCCCGCCCATGCTGGAGCCAACAGAGGCGTACAGCTTACGGATGCCTAGCGAGTCCAACAGCCTGAATTGCGCCCGCACCATGTCCTCCAACGTCAGAATGGGAAATCGGGTCGCATATCGCTTGCCATCGGACGGGTCAATGGACGACGGCCCCGTGCTCCCGTAGCATCCCCCGATCACGTTCGTACAGATGACAAAGTATTTGTCCGTATTCAACGGTGCCCCGGGGCCGATAAACTTCTCCCACCAGCCCTTCTTCGGGTTCTCCGGGGTGCTGCGGGCATGACTCGAGGCAGAGAGCCCGGTGTGAAGGAGGATGGCGTTGCTCTTGTCTGCATTCAGCTCGCCCCATGTCTCGTATGCGATATCGAATTCCGGCAGGATCCCGCCCCAGTCGAGGAGCAAGGGCTCGTCGCAGTGGAAGAGTTTATGGTGGCCCGTGTTGTAGGAGGGTTCGGGCCCCGAATTGAGGGATCGGGCGGACAAAGACGCGGACTTTGCGTCCTGAGCGTCCAGGCAAGGGAAGGACATGGCCGGGTTGGACGACGAGTCCTGCTGTATTCTTGGGCCTGACGACCCATCATCCTCTTCTCTCACAGCGGCCGATTGAGCCCCCCTGCGAGGTGGGTTCGTCTGAATTGACCTCCATGGCGCTTGGTGAATCGACCCGTTGAGCGGCAGCCTGTGCTTCCGCGTCGCGATCGGAGAAGCAGCATCATGGTGCTGGACGAGCCCGGAAGCTCTCAGGCTCCGAGATGCTGCGCGAGCAGCGCCGCGGAGGGGATTCATGGTCGCTGCAGAATAAATCGCAGGCGGAACAGCAAAGAAAATCTAGGACCCGACGTCGGAGCGCATACGGAGTCGAACGTCCATTCTGCCGGTGGAGAGCGCGGCCAATCACGTCATTTAGCGGCCTGCTGATTGGCCATGTTCCGGGCGGTGACAACAGCTTGGGCGGTGTCTGCCGGCAGTATTTTATCGGCATGAAGAGACGTCGATAAGATACTCCAGAATGCATTGATTGACGTTCTATAGAAAGTCTTATCTAACTACTCTGTATTGACAGCCTCAGATAGAGGCTCAGACACACTGCTATCTACATGCAAAATATAAATGCCCATAGTAATGCAAGTGTGCCGGAAGCATAAACAGAAAAGGTTGACAGCACTCACAAAACAATGAAAAACAAATCTGGAAGAAATTTCACCATCTAAACCTTGCAAGCCATTGGTCAACCTGCAAATGCGACAAAAAGATAAATATAGGATAGATAGAACAGCAAAGCCAAGCTCCAGAAAGAACGCCCAGAACACATCTATCCAGGGGTATCCAGAAACGCTCGATGCAAACACAAAGCAGAAGGATCAACAGAAGAACAATCATGGACAGATGACCCGCATGAAACCACGCCATGCTGAATCAGAAACAAGTGCGCCGTCGATCATGCAGAAATTTCGAAGGACGCGCATATCGCTTGGAGGAATAAAATCGCGAAATGCACTCCAAGACTTTTTGAGTCATTCGGGAGACCAGGCGTATGCCAAGAGATATAGGATTCAGGTAAGCTGTGAAGCCATTCCTGCTTTCAAGGCCCGCCTCGTCGCAGAACTGAAGTTACGCCGAGGTATCGGACTCTCAAAGGCAAAAACACTGTAACCAGAGGCTTCCGCAGCGAGCGTAAACATCAGAGCGCAATAAAGTCGATAGTGGTGTGAGTAATATTCACCGCAGACGCATACATGCACCGATAGATGCCGCAGTTCGCATGAAACACCATTTTTGTCCCGTCTCTGGAAATCGACGCTCCACCCGGCGAAACCAGGTTGTAGTCCCCAGTTTGCAGCAGAGGTTTCGGGGCACGTTGGTAGGGACCCTTGACGGAAGTGGATGTGGCGTATTTGACATCGTACTGCGGGGAGGTGTCGCAGTGCGACGAAAAGGTCAAAACGTATATGCCTTCCTTCGTCCGAATAATGCGTGGTGCTTCGACCAGCGGACCGTCGCTCGGAGTGATGTCGAGAATCTCAATTGGATCACCGACCGGGGTGACACCGTCATTTTCCATCTCCTGAAGCATGATTGGCGTGTGGACCAGCGGCGCGATGCCGTTGTTGCAGTTTCCCCCATGCCCGACACTGTTCCCATCCGATTTGTAGGTGACGTAGAGCTTGCCATCCACGTCTCTGAAAGGAGACGGGTCAATGGCACCGCCATATTCCCGCGGACAAGCCAGGGGCTGGTCTTCGGGATTGTACGGGCCCAGTGGAGAGGTGCCATTCGACACCGCAACACCGACGCAATGATGCGTGCCAAAACCTTTGACTTGCCCGGAATAATACAAGACGAATCTCCCGTCATCCTGTGGTTGGCTTGTCAGCAAAACCGTGCAACCAACTCACTTCCACTCCCTCCCAAGATAGCTTACTCTTCTGATGACATCTGGTGCCCAATGGTTTATCTCGAGCTCCCAGGGACCAACGACAGGCAGAGCATCTTCGCCCATTAGGGTCCACTTGATGAAATCTTTCGACGTCGCGATTGGGATGTGAACGCGCTTCTGGCCCTTCTGGTTCGTGCCGAAGGCATACCACGTGCCATTGTACTCGAGCAACCCAGGATCGGGAAAGTTATTCACCGCCAGCACGGGTTGCGCAAGGTCGGACGGCCGCAAGGGACCACCATTACCGAGATTGGTCGGGTCGTCTGAAATACCACTGTCATTGGGAATGGGACTCTGGAAACCACGGTGCTGACGCCGCAGAACAATGGGGAGAGCGACAATCAGGGCCACCAGGACGGACACCAAAAACGCCAGGCCTGCGAAGAAGATGATTCTCCTCCGTGTCCAACGAGTCTGACGTTCCGATGGGACGGAGGTGGTGGATAGCTCCTTCGTACTGTTGGCATCCTTGACATCTTTGACATCCTTGGCACTCTCCTCGTCCACTGAGGATGTCTGACTATGCAAGGCATGCATGCTTCGGCGATGAGCAGAAAACATCGGTGAGTGTGGTTTTCAAGGCGAAGAAAGAGAAAGGAAGGAATGATGAAGTTGATAAGCCACTGCGACAGCAATAATGGTTCGATGCTGTATCGCAGGGTCAGGGTAAATGAAGTCGACTCATCAGTAGGCGGCCGCCATGGGGGAAAGCTGTCAAGGACTAAACGAAGGGAATGACGATTTTGGTCGGATTAACGAGAGCGTGATTTTGGAAAGGAACGAAATAACGACGGCGGAGTTCGAGAGAAAGGAAGGAGACAACGACAAGAACGACAAAAAAGACTCAGGGCTGACCTGAGCAGAAGGACTACGGAGTGCTCCGTACTGTGTAGTCCGGACTATCCTGGCTAAGCTTTTAGACCCACTCGAGCGAATGTGACATCGATCTAAGGGGACTAAGAGGTTCGAGGACGATCACTGTGATGTGCTGTCACGTGCGGAGACGAGGAGTGCGAGGAGAAGAGCAGCAGGTCGAGGGCCATCAGGACGGTGACAGGAAGCGCAGAGGGCTTCTTGTAATCATAAGCATCACCTCATCATGGCCGTTCCTTGCTGCTTGGCTCAGCCAGGCTGGGCGACCGCGGCTCGTGCTCAGTCGAGGCACAGCAGCCTCAGCCTTCCTGCCCCTGCCGCTACCTGCCCGGTTTAGAAGCCTCTAGCCAGCGCCACCTGCCTAGTGCACTGTCGCACCGTTCGAGACGCTCAGCTGTTTGTGGTACAGTCTCGCCTGCTGGCAGCCTCAGCCAGCCAATCAGATGCGCTGCAATAATGAACACGAGCGCGCCGTCCAATGCGCTCTGCTCGTTTCCGGCTGCCGAGTAGGACGGACTCGACGGAGCACACTGTGTCACCCTGCTCTGTTGGTGCGCAAGCAACGGCCCCGATGATCCCAATCCACGATTCCTGGCAACGGCCCTGGTGCGTGCTTTGGCCAGTTGCGAACTCGGCTGGGGCCGTCACGCAACTCGCGCTTCCTGCCCGGACTGGAGGACTAGACTCCTTCGGGCTTAGCGCGTCGACCCTGGCCCGACCAGAAAAGCTTGGCCTCCGGCACGCCCGCCGTCCGTCCACTCAGCTTTCGATCTCCTCGCCGGTGGTGTTGGCCCCAAACAGGGCAGCCGCATGGGGGCTGTTGTTTCCAAGGTTAGCAGCAACTCAGCTGTTGGTCGTTGGGCAGGGATTGTTATCTCAATTCACGCATCCCCCAGATAGGCCTCAAAGAAAGGGAAAAAAAAGAGAGAAGAAGAAAAAAGAACGGACACTACAAATGCCAAGCGACTTGGCAAAAGGGCCAAGGCGCCGAGTCTGCCTGACTCGCATTGACCCACGTGGCAGAACATCTCTCCCCGCGTGCTGCTATCCCCGGGTTCCCATTGGGCGAGAGCAAACGCCTTGGACAGGGAAATTCATCAAAACTGGAGGATCACGCCAGGGCACGTGCTTGGAGATGGAAATGCGATGAATTCTACTGGACGACAATTTTCCGAATGCAATTTTCCTTTTCATTGTCAGTGTGTTCTCCGCATTTATACGGGATCTATCTAATCTCCACCAGCTGAGATCAAACTAGAATCCAACCAACATAATAAGAGCAATTTCTTTTTGTGAAAAGTACGGTAAACTGGAAAAGAATGATGTAGGTGCATCGAAGTGTTATAGGTTAGGTAGGCAAATCCTGCGACCTTAAGTAGGATAGGTTTGAGGTCACGAGATTACTGGCCTTCTTTTACTGCCTAGAGACTAATACCTGTAATCCTGCACATGACATCTCAGAGCTGCTGTATCCTATACCCAGCAGCTGGCACTATCTATCATTTTCCGCTCCTTCCACATTCATCAGTCATCCATAACTAAGTCTTGGTTCGTCGTTGTGGTCCATTGAATGCTTCCACGAGGTTTTCGACATTTTCTTTGACTGCTTGGTTCCTTCTTAAGTATATTATACCCTTTGAAATCTACTGTAACTGTAGCTTAATTTTTTGCTACAGTTAAAAACAATTAATGCTACAAAATGCCTCACAGGGCATGTCTTTCAACCATGGTCGAAAAAGTAGAGATATGGCTTGCCGCGACAATGGATGGGATCGCATCCCATCTTTCTGTGCTTGAGGAAAGATCTTATTCACACTCTAATGGGATAAGTATATTGAAGGGCCTTATAAGATCTGGGCCTTGAGATCAGTGATAAATGGTAGTGTTGAAGGCTTTTATAATAGTATCTTATTCAATATAACCTTTATCAAACCAATTGACCCATTTTCTTCTCTCCAGCCGGTGGGTGTTGAAGATACTCCCTTACTGTCATGTGTACTTCATCCAAAATGAAGTTTGAAGGAGACAGTGCTCTCTCAGCACCCACTGCAGCATCCGTAAAGTAGACTGGAACACAATCCACACCGTCGCTGGGATACTGCATACTTTCAAACTCCTCAATAGTTCAAACTTGGACCATGGAAGAGCCATGAATGACTGGTCTAGGGTAAGCTTCATAGCAGTCTGGTAGTAAGTAGGAGATATAATAAGATCTTTCTCTGTCAAGAAGTCGATGATGCCTTGTGCCTGCATCTGAGTTTCTTGCCAGACGATCGAATTCACACGCTTTTTCCCATTGCCTTCTAAGACGGGCTTGCAGGCATCCGCCAGAGCGGAATACGGCCCTTCAAAAGCCGTGACGCTGAGTTCTTAAGGTAGCTTTGGATTGCTGCAAGATGCACGTCTGAAATATCAATTCCCAACATTGGTAAATTATCCTAAGTCTGCTTGATGCTGCGTCGAAGAGAAGATGAGTGACGGCGACCTAGCATGATGTTGGAAAGCTATATACACCTAGTATGGCTCCACCATCGATATAGAAAGCGCGAAGAAAACAGCCTGGTTTACTGAAAGAGACGAGATTGCAACTTCAGGTACTCCGTAGATATACATCCCAGTATCCATATCCTGTACATGCCACCACAGGTACCTTTTATTCCGTACACAAAACTCTTGTTATCTGCGCGTTGGACCCTTGTCTGTCTGCGATAAGCGATAGGAAAGGTAGTTCTCAATGATTATCAAAGCCCACTTTTAGGGGAACAAAAAAAAGAGAATCGTTATCTTTTCTTTTTATCAGCGTGGTCAGATAGATACAGAAAGCAAACAAATCACCACAATCTAGGGAGTAATCCCAGTCTAATTAGCTGATCGCTAATAAATAACCAATTTTCTCGACGCAGCAACCCCGCCTAAATAATAAAATTAATAAACGGAGAGGAGAGGATGTGCCGCTTTGGCGCAGATCCCAATTTAAAATCAGAGCCAATAGGCCCAATACCGACGAGGATCATCACAAAGAAATTGAAAATTGATTGCTACGTTTATACTACCGTTTACTACCGTTTACTAGGTATGAACTGTCTGTCTGGCTGGGTACTGCAACAGTGCAACCTATTTAGGTAGCAGCGGTGATCATATTTTTATTCGTACTCCGTACGGGGTACTCTGGTTCTACTTCTGGGGAATGATCTGCTCTGCTTCCTACGTCTTAGCTACTACTACTGCTAACTATGTTGATCGGCGTCACATAAGCAGGGATTCAACGGGGTGCGGTATATTTTTTTTTTGGATTTTTTTGCCCCCAATGTTTCACCTGTGTTTTAGCTCCGCACCACCCCGTTTTGGATCCAGCACTTCCTACGGGAAGTACGGTGTACAGAGGACTCCGTGCGCAACAACTCTTTGTTTGGCAAGAAAACATTAAAATGTTATTCATAGTAATCGTAAAATCTGTGGCTTTGTCTTCTCTGCCCCAAAGCTGGGGCTAGAAATGGTTCCCCGTATTTTTTTTTATAAATTCACCGACGAGGAGATTCTGGCCAAGGATAGATTCCGCGGAGGCCAAAATATACCTACACCAAGTACACGTACGGAGTAGCTGACTGTGCGGTCATCGCAATGATATCGACGCAAACGCCGTAATATAGCTAAGACGTGACGGATCTCAAAAATAAGCAAGATGATCTACCAGGGCAATGACGTCGGGGGATGTGTCAGGTGGCTGCAAGTGCGGGACAAAAGGACACCTAGATACTACACTACAGTGGCCAGTATCAGTAGTAGTAGTCTGTAGTTCTGAGATTTCAGAATTATTGGAGATCTCCTCTGCTGCGATTGCGCTGTACATACGTAACCTTCAAGTGCCCTGCTTGCAGCCAGCGGGGTTGATACGATTCAGGAAGATCACACCCAATCCGGACCAATAGCAACCCATGATCTTGTTCGCGGAATTACCTGCAGAGATCATTCATGGACTACATTTCTCCGACGCAAGAGTCTAGGTAGGTCGACTGGTCGAGGCTGATGGCCGCTGCAGGCAGGTGGCAGGCTGGCAGCAGCTGAGCAGACAGACGCTGCTGATGACGCGGCTTGTGGGCGACGACCATGGACGGTCTGGTCTGGTTCAAGCCACCGGCAAAGGAATGCGTTTTTGCAAATAGGTAGGAGTATATTAATATTGGATCGATGTTTCTTTCTGGAAATATCGACGAGTCGACGACAGTGCAGAACACTGATCAGTGATCACACTACGCGGTGGGTTTGGCAATCCAGCCCACGTGCGAGGGGAGCCGGAACCAGACACGGTGAGCGATTTGTCCATGATCCCATCCCCCTCCGAACGCAGCCATACAATCCCGGAAAATCAATTGGCATTATTGACTACGGTATGCCATCCAGGAACGGCAATAGGACTCGCCGGCGATCGTGCAACCACACACGGATCAGCTGCAGCAGCCCTGTCAGCTGTCAGTGTCAGGTCTGCTGCGTGCCGCGCTGCGTTACACTGCTCGAAACCCAGTGGGACCATCACCGGGCATCACCATATCGATTACCGTAAGAAGAGATGTGTACGTCGTACTGAACTGGAGAATAGCAGGGCAATATAATAGCAATATATAATAGCAATATATTACTCCGTGTAGCTGCTCTGTTGTAGCAATGTCAAGCTAGAGCTCGTACGTCAGCTTCAGCCACCCGTCGCTAGCAGCGCCTAGGCGTGCTCGTCCCTCTGCGCCGGCTCCTCGATCGGCTTGGCACTGACGACTGCCAGAGACTAGAGGCATTACCGTGAGCAGTAATTCGCCCAGCAGGCCAGGTGGACGACTGTCCTACGCGTCTCTCTGCTGCTTTAAGGCCGCATCGGTGCTAGCTCCACCCGACCCGGTGGGCCGGCTTGCTCACAAGCTCTGCGTCGGGACAAATATTAAGATTGCTGCTCGTCATGCCCACGGCAGCCCAGCTTTATTTCCCTCACCACCTGGCTGCTCTCCTTTTGCCTGCTTGTCCATGCATGCCACCGTCGAATTCGAATAGAAGCCCTCGGGCCGCTACGGTCTGATCCATCTTCTCCGTGTTTTTTTTTTAGCCTTCCCGTCCGCGGAGCTTGCGGACATACAGCGCACGCAGGACGTGACTGTTGATCTCACATTGTTTCTTGTTCTTCTTTCATAGACATCGGGTTTCTGGCCTATATTGCTTTTTCTGCCACGATGCTTCCCTTCCGAAAAGCCTTGGTCGCGGCTGTGCTGCTGATCGCCTTAGTCGTCATCCTCCGCTCGTCGCACTCTACCGCTGCCGCCGCTCCCAATACCGCCTCCACCGCGAAATCCGACGACGCAATCGACGACACTGCAATCCGGGCACCTCCGCAATCGCGTGCAGACAAGGCGGGCCATGTCTCTCAGATCTCGCTAGAGTCTCTCGCCGATCGGCCCCTGCGAGAACGACTGCGCTACCAGTTTCCCTACGACGTCGAGAGCAAGTTCCCCGCCTACATCTGGCAGACATGGAAATACACCCCGGCATCGGGCAACTTCGATGAGAAACTGCGGCCCCTCGAGGCCAGCTGGACGGAACTCCATCCCGGATTCGTCCACGAGGTGGTGACGGACGACATCGCAAAGCATCTGATCCGGTATCTGTACGGGGGGATTCCGGAGGTGGTCGAGGCGTTCGAAGCGCTGCCCCTGCCCGTCCTCAAGGCGGACTTCTTCCGGTATCTGATTCTGCTGGCCCGCGGGGGGATCTACGCGGATATCGACACTCAGGCGTTGCAGCCGGCGACCCACTGGCTGCCCGACGACATGGACCGACTGTCGGTAGGGCTGATCATCGGCATCGAGGCGGACCCTGACCGGCCGGATTGGCACGACTGGTACTCGAGAAGGATCCAGTTTTGCCAGTGGACGATCCAGGCGAAACCGGGCCATCCCGTGCTGCGCGACGTGGTCGCCACCATCACCGAGGACGCCCTGCGCATGAAGAAGGCGGGCATCCTCACCAAGTCCAAGATGGACAAGACGGTCGTGGAATTCACCGGTCCGGCCGTCTGGACAGATGCCATCTTCCGCTACTTCAACAATCCGGAATACTTCCACTTCGAGGCGGGGGCCCGCAACGTCACGTACGAGAATTTCACCGGGCTCACGGAGCGGAAGAAGGTGGGCGATGTCGCCGTGTTGCCCATCACCAGCTTCAGTCCGGGGGTTCAGCAGATGAAC